AATATAAATTTAGGTTTGACTTTTACACAAGATCCAAAAACAAAACAAAACAAAGAAAAAAAGGTCCATATCTAAGATCTATTGTTAACTATACATACAAGGCAAAAAATCAGAGGGTTCAAGTTGTTAAATTCATTTAAGCAGCCCCAATTTCCTGACATTGTTTTTGTGTGTGTGTACGTGTGATTTTACTTACTTTGTGTGGTTTTATTTATTTTGATGTGATTGATACTATACACAGCGAAACAAACACTGATTCAACAATTTCTGTATAGACCTTTCTTTTAATTACACTAATTACGTTCTTTGAATTGTACAACCATTCTTATTCTTATTTTTGAGCCACTGCTCTCATGATTCCCATATAAGACCTGAGTTGCTGTGGTCGATTTGATCCTGTTTTGATAATTTGAGAATTTTTAAAAGTGCATAATGTTTAAAGCAATTTTCCCTAGTTAAGCTTTTCAGACCTTTAGCACATTTGGTTTAAGAAAACTGCAGAGGCATTTTTCATTTAAGGTTTAAAGACTATGTAGGACAATAGTTTGAGGGGTAATGACAATCTCTTTAGCAGAACGATTTCCAAAAGTTTTATAAAATCAGTGGCCGAATTTTCCTATAGTATGTTACAATCATTTCTCAACCTCAAAAACAGCTGATGAAGCAGAAATGTAAGCTGAATTAACAGTGAAGAACTTTGCTTGTCCTTAGCATTAGATGATCTTGAACACAGATGTTATTCTTGGAGGATGATGCCCACATTTATTTTTATTTCAATTTATTTTATGAGCTAGAGAGAGAGAGACGATGATGATTTTGGATGGATGGATGGATGGATGGATGGATGGATGGATGGATGGATAGATGGAAGGATGGATGGATGTTGTTAGGTGCTGTAGAGTCGAGTAAAATGCATAGTGACCCTATGAACAACCAGCCTGAAACCTGCCCTATCTTATGTCATCCTCATCTTCTCTGGGACAAAAGAACCAATTGCTGAAGTCATAGTGTCACTTCATCTCGATGAGGTCTTCCTCTCCTTTGCTGACCCTCCATCTTTTCAAGCATGATGTCTCTTTCCAAGAAATAGCCTCAACTAACTACTTGTCCAAAGTATGAAAGACAAAGCTACGTCATCCTTGCCTCCAAGGAACACTCTGGCCATACCCTTTCCAGAAATATCTGTTCTTTTGGTAGTTCATGGGATATTCAATACTCTTATAGATAGATATAAAATTTAAGGGAACTGGTGGTATAGTATATAACATATCCAGGTGCTAACCCCAGCCTTTCTGTGGGGGAAAGATGGGAGTCTTCTCCTATATAAATTTACAGTGTCAGAAACCTGAAAAGTGAGAATGGAGTCCACAGGATTGAGTTAGATCTGGAGCGGCTTAATGGCTTATCAGTAGTCTTATAGTAAAAATGTCAGTATTTCAAACCCACCAGTTACACGGCAGAAGAAAGATGAGGATATCTGCTTCTGATAAAATTACAACCTTGGAAATCCTCTGGGGCTGTGTTAGTCTATCCTCTGAGTGGGTTGGCATGAGGGAGAATCTACTTTAACAATCCACACCATGTAAAAATTTATACCTACAGTTATAAGTTACTTCTTCCATGTAAAAAAGTCCCATAGCTTCACTACTATAAGGCTAAACTATAAAATATAAAACCCCAACTTCAAAAACAAGTTAAAAATCAACTATCTTGATAGACATGCTTAGAAAGCTAGGATTGATAAAATGTGTAATTTCTTAGTTTCTCTTAGGGTGTACCCTCCTTCATTTTTCCTGATGTGTGACCTCATGCTTGAAAAGATGAAAGGTCACAGAAAAAGAAGGTGAACCTCAGTGAGACGGGTCAACACAACACTGCAATAACCGGCTTACGCATAACAGAGATTATGTAGATGGTATAGGATTGGGCAGAGGTTTTTTCTATTGTTCATTGGGCCATTGTTAATTTGAGTTGACCTAATGATAATATCTATGTAGTGAAAATAACTTTAACAAAGGTCTTCTTTTCTCTCAGATTAACTCAGTCTACAGTTTCAGTGGCTGTCTCAGCAATCTCCAGCTTAATGGGGCCTCCATCACCTCAGCTTCTCAGACCTTCAGTGTGACTCCTTGTTTTGAAGGCCCAATGGAAATGGGAACATACTTTTCAACAGAAGGAGGATATGTGGTTCTAGGTAACGTGACTCATTTTTGTGACGTTTGAATTATGAAATATTTCTTCTGACCAGGAAATACCCACATGTAAAATTTAAGAGTGCCAACTAACCTAGCTCTAAAAGTTGACTTCTTTCCACAACCACCATCTTTCTCCTTTTCCACTCTAAAGCAGAGATAGAGCTTTTATCCTGCCCCATTCACTGACCAGAACTTTCTCACAGCTGTCAGTGTAAGCAGCCAACCACACTTTCTTAAACTATCATATGCAATAGGATGACCAGAGTCAATATTTTCTCTTTGTGGTTCATGATTTTATTTTCTTTTCCTTATCCCACCAAAACACCTGCACTTAATATTCCTTTATCATTCATTAAGGGCTTTCATTGAATTTCACTAATAGAAAAACTAAAGCCTTGGACACTTTGAGATACATAGAAACCTGCACAATTTATGGACCTCCTAAACATTAATATCAGGAGAAATGAAAAAATAATTTATTAGGAGACACATGGACATTATAAAGATGCTCATGTTTGCAGTGAGCCTCTTGGAATGAACACAGCTATTCTTCAATAACAATTCATTTTCTTGGATCACTGTAATGTTGTTGTTAGGTATTGTTAAGTTTAGCACAACTCAACTTGACTCTTTGAACAATAGATCTGATCCTTGTCCTTTCCTGTGCTATCTTTACCATTTCTGATACACTCAAGCCCATTGCTATAGTTACTGCATCATTACCCCTGGTTAAAGGTCTTCCTCTCCTTCACCATTCCTCTACCTTCCCAAGCATAATGTCCCTCTCCAAGGAATAGCCTTTCCTAGAAACATGCTCAAACTATGTGTTCATCATCATTGCCTCTAAGAAACACTCTAGCTGCACCTTCTGCAAAGCATATCTGTTTGGAGTTTTGGCAATCCATAAGATATTCAGTATTGTTCTCCAACACCACAGTTAAGTTCTAAGGTGCCAATTGTTCTTCTGCCATCCATATTCATTGTCCAGGCTCTCAGATACATAGCAAGTGATTTAAAAGGCCATAGCCTGTATCAGGTGCACCTTAGTCCTTAAACTTATATCATTGATACTCGTTGTAATAGTAGATCCTAATTCCTTTTACTAATCTCACTTCCTCCACTGAAAGACTGTACTACTCAAGTATTTTTATTATTATCATTATTATTGTTGATTAAAAATTTTTTTAAATGAGGCCAGCTCCCTTGCTCAGTGACTTCAAAACAGAGTCGAGCTTCTGAGCTTCGGCATTAGGAGTCTTCCATGTGTGGCTCCAGCCTGTCTTCTCAACTCACCACGCCTCTTTCTGCCCTGCAGCAGACAACCCAGCCACACTGGCCAACACAGTGCTTGTCAGATGCCCCAGTCTGTGGATTTGTATTCAAACTACTGCCTCAGCCAACATTGTCATTTCCCTTTATTTATGACATATCAAATAACTTTGTTAATTGTAATTCATTTTTGCTCTGCTCTACTCCTAGTGCATATGTTATATTACCAATGGATTGTCCCCATCCACACACAAAGTTGTGTTATATTTGTTATTTCTCCCCTTAACCCCCAGAGATTTTCACTTTTTTTCTTTTCACATTTTTTTTTAAAAAATGCCACTTTCTACAATAAAGAACACTCATTCATTGTTATCAACTTGGAATTGATTCATAGCTGACCTTCCAGTGAGTTTTCAGAGGCTGCAAAAGTACCAGAAGGAAATTGCCCATCTTTCTCCAGAAGAGAATCTGGCAGATTTGAACTGACCACCTTGGTTTAGCAGTGTAATGTCTTACCCAGAGCTTACTTTCAATTACACTGTTAAAAAATGTCAAATCTTCAAAAGTAAATTAAAAGACATGTAGTTACAAAAATCACATCATAGTTACAAAATGTATGTTGCTGTCTTTGAGAACTGATTGTATTTCTCTCCATAGATGAATCTTTCAATATTGGCTTGAAGTTTGAGATTGTATTTGAAGTGCGTCCCAGAAGCAGTTCTGGAATCCTTGTTCATGGCCACAGTGTCAATGGGGAGTACCTGAATGTTCACATGAAAAATGGGCAGGTATTGTCTCAAAAAAAAAAAAAAAGTCTTTCTTCTCTGACCTTGAATTCCAGACCTGAAGCAAATTTATTTTACAGAATTAAGTAATCTTTCCTTAATGGTTTGTTAATGAAGGAAAAGAAAAAGGAAATGGGAAGAGATCTGTAATATAAAATTTAAGTACAGACAATACTTGGATTAAGATTACTATGTTGGGAATGAAAATGATTAAGAAAAAAATTCAAAAAAGGTGTCACAATTATTAAAGAAGCTGAAAATAATATCAGTGATAATAACATAACTAAAGAGTTTTAACTAAGACTTTGAATAGGTCTATTCCAGTTAAAATTCTTGCTGAGAATTTGCATTTCTTCCTCAGATTTACTGAATCAGAATCTACATTTCAACAAGACCCTTGAGGTTACTCTTATGTAAATGAGAATGATTACATAAAAATATAATGCATTAAAATGTATAAATAAGAATTATGTTATGCTTTACAAGAATCATCTGGTGATCTTGTGGATTCTGATTCAGTTTATCTGGCATGGCTGTTATGGTTTTAAAAAAGAGTTGGAAGAAATTTGTTTCTACCACTTGGAAGCAGTGAACATATCCAATATCAAGACAATCTGTTTAAAAACCTATCATCTATCTACCTATCTATATCTATGTATCTATGTATCTATGTATCTATCATCCATCTATCTATCTGTCTAATCTGTATGTGTGTGTGTTTTGTGGGTATCTGTGTACACACATACTCATCTTTAAAACAACATACTCATCTTTATAATATACTCGTCTTTAAAAATTAAAATAATTCATTCTGCTATTCTTTTATCTCAAGCTCTACTAGTTGGAGAAGTGCACTGCTAACCCCCCAAAACACACCTTTCTGGTGGATTTAATCCACCAGTGACTCCTGAGAATGATAAGCACGCTCCTGTCCTGTGATTTACAACTTCATATCCTGCAATGGGTCAGCTATGAGTCGGTTCTAACTTCAGGGCAATGAGATTTCGTTTGCTGTTTTTCATTTTTCCTGTTGTTCCTCTCTTCCATCTACTATCCTGTCTCACTGTTTTGTTCACTTTCCATGTAAAGCCTGTTAAACTATTTCTATTGCCTGCCAAACAGTGACCTCTTGTGTTGAAATTGCGAAGTTAATCATGAGTGGCTGTTTGTTGACGTTTGTCTGTGATGATACAAATATCGTGAATGTGAGGAGATGAAATGACATTATATAATAAATTCTGTTTTTGGAAGGTCATAGTAAAAGTCAACAATGGCATCAGAGACTTCTCCACCTCAGTAACCCCCAAGCAGAGTCTCTGTGATGGCAGATGGCACAGAATTACAGGTGAGAACAGGCTGAATCCTGGGCTTCCTTTTCAAAGACGGGTCAGTGAACCCACCTGTGAGGACAGAGCTTGGCAGAACTCTGAAGAGTTATTTGATAGACAAGGAGATGGATGGCAGTCTAGAGTTCGCCAGAAGAAAAACAGAAGCAAATGCTTTACAATAAAATTTATGTATTGAATGGCTTGGGAATGGGAATGTTGTCAAAATAGTTATTAGTTATTTAAATTATGGATAATTTATAAAGCAAACAGTAGCACAAGAATATCTTATATATACATTCTCAAAAGAAAATATTATTAGCTTGTTAGATATCAATGTTTTTGGTGATATAGAAGACAGTTTTATTCATTACTGTGATTTTAGTCTCCTCAATTCTTTCATGTAAAAATTAATCACTCCAGTGCCACTGATGACTGATTTCCATCCTGTGTTTCAGTTATTAGAGATTCAAATGTGGTTCAGTTGGATGTAGATTCTGAAGTGAACCACGTAGTTGGACCACTCAATCCAAAGCCAGTTGATCACAGGGAACCTGTATTTGTTGGTGGTGTTCCAGGTAAGGCTTATTTTAAAAGGACAAGTTTTCAAATCCAGGGTACCGTGGACTCTCATTATTATTGTAACATCATTGAGTAATGTATCTTCATATTTCATCCAAACAAAAAAAATATAAGTTAATTTTCATAAAAGAGTGTATACTGAAAATTGTGATCAGCCATGGTCACACCAAAGTAACACATAAGAAATCCCAGCATTCCAGCCAAAATATGTATTTATTATCCCCTTTGCCATAATCAACTTATTTTCTCTTTTCCTTCTTCAAACCTACACAATGTGAATATTACTCTAAAATATGAAAATATTGGAAGATTAGGGGTTTGCTGCCATTTGCTCTTTTCTGGTTCTCTGTCCAGGATTAGCTTGAAATGCAGAACAGCTGCAAACCATAAATCATTTTTCCTGCATGGCCGCATTCGCTCAGAGAGGTTCCCAGCTACAGTTCTGTAAAGATCATTAGTAACATTGCTGCTGTCCTTGCTCAAGAATACTGTACAGACCAGGGTGGTGAAAGGACACTGAAGGCCCTCCCATGTTCGTTTTTAACCTCTCAAATAGGGACTAGATCCTTAAGTTGAATACATACCTTTTCATAGATTTCACACAGTTGGAAAAACTAAATGCTACAACTGGCAAGAAGTCTACAAGAATATAAGCAAACTCTTACATCTAGAATTTGGAGGACATTTGAGGGAAAACATACAACAGTTCTTTTTTTCCTGTTTTAAATTGGCTTCTCTATAAAAGATCATAAATAAATCTTTAAAGAGAAGAGTGGAAAAGCACAGAAAATTAATCTTCTAATCTTGGGTTCTTCTCTAATAGTTGCTAGAAAATCCTTCTCTTTGTAATATGAACTGTTTAAATGCCAGTATTTACTATTTACAGAAATATTTGAGACCTTCAAAAAGCAACCAATTCTTTGCTTTATCTCCACCCCACTCCCAATCCCTCCCCTTTGCACTCTCCCTTCCCCACCTCCCACCTGCTGCCTGGCTTCAATTCTGAAAGGATTTTTTTGGCCAGGCAGTATAAGATATATCATTTCTTGGGTTTCTATATAGTTCTTCCTTCCTAAAACACAAAACAACATTTAAAATATTTTTTAAATTCCCAAGGTCCAACAAGGTCAAATTCAACATGGCCATGAGCCCTTTATGATCAATTTCCACCCTGCCGCTGCCTCTGGGTCTTCCTACACCTTCTGGGATTTGTTGTTTCCCAAGTGTTCAATGATGCTCTCTTTGTCCCAGGCTTCTGCACAACTGTTGTTATGTGCCATCAAGTTTCTTTTGACTCATAGCAACCCTACCTACAGCACCTCTGAAACCTACTTTATCTTGGTACAATTTCATTGTTTCTGACACATCTACCCCCATCAGTTACTGAATCAAACCATCTCATCGAGGGTCTTCCTATCTAGCCCTATCCCTCCACTGTTCGAAGCATGATGTCCTTCTCCAAAGACTGGTCCCTCCTGGCAACATGTACAAATGACCTTCAAAATCCTTGCCTGCAAGGAACAGCCTGGTTTCACTCTCCAGGATAGACCTATATGTTCTCTTAGCAGTCCATGGTATGTTCGGTATTCTTCTCCAGCACCACAACCCAAGGCATCAATCCTTTTTCTATCATCCTTAGTTATTGTCAAGCTTTCTGATGCATAGCAAGTAATTGCAAAGACCATGACTTGGATCAGGAACATCTTAGTCTCTAGACTGACATCGTTGCTTTTCAGTACTCTGGAGAGATCTCTGACAGCAGATTTTTCCCAATGCAATTTGTCTTTTGATTTCCTGGCTTTTGGTGCCAAGAGTGTTGATTGGCAAGCAAGTAAGCTGAAGCTGTTAGCAATCTCAGTCTCTTCTCCATCTATCATGATGTTGCCAATTGGCCCAGAGGTGAGAATCTTTGTTTTCTTGTTGAGTTTCAATCCATCTTGAAGGCTGTAGTCCTTGACCTTTAGTTGCCAAAGTCTCAGCTCCTTCTCAGTTTCAGAAAGCAAGGTTGTATCACCTTCATAACACAGGTTGTTGATGAGTCTTCTTGCAATCCTAATGCTACATTTCTCCTCATACAGTCTAATATAGGATACATCCCTGGTATACACCCTTCTTGATTTTGAATCATGCAGTGTTTCCTTGCTCTGTTCTGAGGACTACCTCTTGGTCCAAATATAGGTGTCATATAAGCACAGTCAAGTGTACTGAGATTTTCATTCCTTTCAAGGTCAGCCACAACTTGTGATCCACACAGTCAAATGCTTTTGCATAATCAATGAAACACAGTAGACATTCCTCTCTGCTTTCAGCTAAGATCTATCTAACATTGGCTATGACCTCTTGTAAACCCAGCCTGTACATCTGGCAGTTTTCTGCTGATGATTGTTCCAGTCATTTTTGGATAATCTTCAGCAGGATCTTGCTTGCATTTGATATTAATGATTTTGTTCAATGATTTCCACATTTTTTTTAAAAATGCAATTAAATATTGATCTCTTCCAGTCAGTTAGCCAGGTAATTGTACTCTAATTTCTTTGCACAATCTGGCGAGCATATCTATGGCAGCATCTGTTGTTGAAAGGTATCAATTCCCCATCAGGCCTGGGGCCTTATTTTTTGCCAATTCTTTCAAAGCAGCTTGAACTTCCTCCTGCATCACCATTGCCTCTTGTACAGGGCCTTAATCTGCAAAATGTTCTTTCTCTCATACTCTTTCAACAATCAGCTTCTCCATCATCTACCATCCACTCAATTCCAATCCAGCTTTTAGGACCCAATGTAGACATGTACACATATGTACCACACATTCAAACCATTCTAACCTTTGTGTACCCCTTGTTAGTATAGCACCTACAGTGATACACTGTTAAAATATTGCACTCACTGATTACAGAAAATATGGCTTTATTTGACATACAGCAAACATTATGGAGTGCCTATTAAACAATGGGCAAATTGGCAGCACCATGATAGATGGAGACGAAATTGAGATTGTTAACAATTACAGCTTACTCAGCTCCACTATCAACACTCTTAACACCAGCAGTCAGGAAATCAAAAGACGAATTGCATTGGGGAAAATCTGCTATCAGGGACCTCTCCAGACTGCTGAAGAGCAATGATGTCAGTCTAGACACTAAGGTGCACCTGATCCAGGCCATGGTCTTCACAATTACTTGCTATGTATCAGAGAGCTGGACAATGACTAAGAATGACAGAAGAAGAATCGATGCCTTCGAATTGTGGTGCTAGAGAAGAGTCTTGAACATAATATGGACTGCCAAGAAAACAAATAGGTCTGTCTTGGAGAGGGTGAAAACAATTATCTCCTTGGAGGCTAGGATTTTGAAGCTCTATCCCACACATCTTGGGCATGTGGCCAGGGAGACCAGTCCTTGAAGGCATCATGTTCAGAAAGGTGGAGGGACAGCATAAGAGAGGAAGACCTCAGATGAGATGGACTGATACAGTAACTGGAACAAGGGGGGAAGGTGTTAGTGTGTTGGAATTAGTGAGACTGGCTCAGGACAGGGTTCAGAGCTACTGTCCATACGGTTACTATGAGTTGCAGGTGACTCAACAGCACATAACAACATTAACCACTATGCTAGGAAAGAGAGGAATAAAATAAGAATGGTTGCTATGTAGCTCATAGAATCTAAAATATTAATTCTTTATTTTTTTACTCAAAGTGCTTATATATCAATCAAATATTTGTGTAATTTTTGTTGGTTTTTATAGCATGACCCTAGCTTTACACATTAGCTCATACTACTATTCTTATTCTTCACTACAAGAGTGATTAAGCTCCACAGATAAGGCAACTAAGAAGTGCCAGAAGCCAAACCTAGCCAAATATACAGTGGATAGAAAAAATTAACTAAGGAGCCAGCACACAGAAATTAGTGAGCCAGGGAGATCTAACCACCAGCCCACTTCACCATTACATTTAATTCCATCTAGTAATCATGCCAGCGAGCCTAGAACAAAAGCAAAAATCTTTTAAGCTAAATGTTTTGAAGTATATATTTTTGAGCTGTTTAAGATAAATTGCACTGAAATCACATACCAGGAATCATAAGCCAAGAATTAAGGGGGATAAAGAGAAGAAATTGGTATAAATAAAACTCTTCTATGCACCTGGATTCTCTCAGAATCTCAATCTCTCACACCAATCAAAACCCTGTTAACTCATTATTTCTATCAATAAAAAATGAAGGCGTTAAGAGACATAGAACCACACAAGATAAAGTCAACTTTATCACTTACAAGTATCATTTCAAAATTCAAATTACCACACACGATTGTCTGATAATTTATTCCTCTACTGAAAATCCTGGATCATTTTATGCATAGTCAAGCTTTCAACTTGTGGAGCATTCTCTCTTACAGTCATGCAATGATTTTATTCATCAGCCACTTAGGCTGAAGGGCAATTTTCTGTCACTTTATACAATTAATTGCATGGTAAATTATGCAGACATTTCTTGCTATAGTAATTATTATAGTAATTATTAACTCCAAATAACTTCCCTCATTAGCCAAGGGAAGAACTAAGCACATCTTCTAAAATTATTTCCTAAATGGAATGTTTCTAGCCTTGGTGGCTCAATGGTTAAGTACTCAACTGCTACCCTAAAGGGCAGCAGTCTAAACCCAACTATTCCTTGAGAGAAAAGACCTCACAATCTGCTCCTATAAAGATAAAGGCCTAGGAAACCGTTCTCTGTCGTGCAGGCTCACTGAGTCAGAATCGAGTGAACAGCACCCAATAGCAATGCCACCTTATAATCTTTGCTCATTTTTTATTCCAACAATGCAACACAACTGAGCAGGTCTGCAGAAGAGATGTAATCAACCTGCTCTATACACAAATCAATGGACTTGATCTCTTGAGCTCCCTCCAAATCTAAAACTTTATCATTCTGCATGAGATTCTATTTCTATGATTTATTTGTGAAATCAAGCTTCTGCATATACTTAAATCACATTGCTTAGAAAGCTTAGCACAGTGCTAGTTGCTGTTTAATTTGCTGCCTTATATTCTTTCTTGAGTTGCTAATTTCTAAGTAGTTTCCATCTTTTATCAGCTCTGGCTCACAGAGTTGTTTATACATAATAATCAGCTTTGACTAAATGGATTTTAATTTCATGATATTTTGAAGTCTCTAAATTGCTTTAAATTATATTGCTCCTATCATCCCAGCACATTTAATTGTGCCTATACAATTAATAAGCATAAGGCTTCTTCTAGATCTCTAATTAAGATCAGTAAGAACATTCCCCTGGCATACCACAGGGCACCTGTGCCCACACAAAGACAAGCTTGGTTTTGTTTTTTTTTTCACTATCCTACTTCTATTTCTGAAACATTTAGCTCAGAAAAATTAAAACTTCATTCATTTGAATTCATTATTTTCTCATTATATCTTATGAGCTTGGCAAAAAACTGCAGAGGCTTAAGGGTGCAGGGTAATGACATGAATTAAACAGAAACATTAACCAAGTCCAAAAATAGTGTGGAAACTAAGATTTCATCACTTCTCAGCAAAATATAAAAAATAATGAGGCCAATGTAAAATCAATGATAACAGCATAGGTGGTGGCTGTTAACTGCCATGGAGTTGGCCCTGCTTACGGAAACATCATGGACCATCAAACAAAACTTCCCCACTCTGCTTCACTGTCCCCATCACCAGCTGTGCATCAGACCACGCTGATCCAGGTGTTTGTTGGGCTGATTTTGAGCAGCAGATCAGCAGACCTTTATTTCTTGTCCATCTTAATTTGGAAGCTCCACTGGAGCCTCTTCAGTCACAGCAACATGCAAACTTCCCCTGGTGACCATGCAGGAGGAACAATGGCTAGGAACTGAACCCAGGTCTGCCTTCCAGGAGGCAGTGACTACCACTGAACCACCGCAACCTCAAAAGCATAGGTAGCACTGCTAAGTCTTTAAGTGTTCATGGTCATTTTCATTCTGAGGGAATAGCTGAATTATATAGATATTTGATTATAGAAAGCAAGACAAAACCTTCAAATAATTATAGATTCATATTACTCCAAAAGCAGGTAAAGTTTCCAAGGGATGAGTAAATGATACTTCATTTTGGATATAGAAGTCATCTTCATGATATGAGCAATTATTATGTACGTTTTGACCACGAAATATAAATGTTTTCATTTCTTTCTCTTGTCAGAGTCTCTGCTGACACCACACCTGACCCCCAGCAAGCCCTTCACAGGCTGCATTAGGCACTTTGTGATTGATGGGCACGGGGTGAGCTTCAGTAAAGCAGCCCTGGTCAGCGGCGCCGTGAGCATCAACTCCTGCCCCACAGCCTAGGTCACGGAGTGGAGCTGCCCCAGGATAATGTTCTTTAGAGCACTGAAATCAACACAAAACCTTCCTGCAGGAACCACAACTCTTCCTCCCCTGGAAGCTTTCAACTGGTCTAGAGGGATGACTTAAATGAATCATCAGGGACTGAATGTTGTTTGTTATTTTGTATTTTAACTCTTGCCTTGGATCCAAAATGTCTGCAATGGACAACAATCAAAGGAGTGTTTAAACCTACTTGTATGGACAGCACACTTACTTCCTACTGGTGAAATATACTGTTCCTGTTCCTAATAAAATAGAAGGGATTCTAAATAAACACTGGCACACATTTTTAAAGTGTGGCTAGATTCTGAGATTCATTTTTCTATTAAGGATGATAACTTTCAAATTCTCCTAAGTTACTTTTCTTTACTTTGAAAGACATACTAATTAATATCTAAAATTAGATGATATGTTTTCAGCATTTCTTCTCTTTCTGGTCTATTAGTATAACAATAATATTTTCGATTTGCAGCTGTTAGTAAGGTTCAATAAATTTCTAATTAAGTCTTTTTTAAATGATACTATAAATTTTCCTAGATAACAACGAAGGAATTCAATTACTATTTCTTTGTTTAGTTTCTTTCTTTAAAGTTTGTGTAAGATGTAGGAGGAGGCTCCTGTAGGGTACTTCTTGTAATATATAGAAATCATCAGGGGGTTACAGCAAAGAAGGGAGACCCATAAAATTCCATTTAAAAGCATGAAAATTTTTTATTAAATGGCTATTTTCCCCATATACCTGTAACACAGCCAGTCTTTATTTCTGAAATTGTATTTTCTTTTCATAGTCATCCATATTAATTAATTAATAAAGCCTAGCAAAAGAATAGGGAAACCTGGTGGTGTAGTCCATAGGGAGTTACGCTGGAAACACAAAGGCAGAGCCTTTCTGGTGGCTTGGATCCACCAGCAGCTCCCCAAGGAATAAGATGGGTAATATTCTCTCAAGTAATTTACAGCCTCTGGAAAAATCACCGATGAGTCAATTATGAGTATGAGTCAGTTCTGATTGTATAACAATAACATTAATTTTTTAATATGCTGGTAGATTTGAACCACCATAATGGTGGCAACACAACTCCTTATAGGCTTGAACAGTGGGTGAACTATTAAACTGCAGACACTAATAAAATTATACATTATAATCAACATTGAAAATAGGATGAAAGGGGAGAAATCTCTGCTATCAGCAGGATTGGAGATAATGAAAAGAAATAGCTTTCAATCTTTTCAATCACTTAGATGTATCTGAGAGCTGGACAATTAATAAGGATGGCAGAAGGATTGATACTTTTTAACTATAATGCTGGAGAGGAGTATAGAACATCCCATGGACTGTCAAAAGAACAAAGAGATATGATTTGGAGAAGGTGCAGTCAAATGTCTCTTTGGAGGCAAAGATAAAGCTTTGTTTTACACACTTCGGTCATGTTGCTAGGAGAGAAGCTTAGAAAGATTCAGGGATGGCCAAAGAGAAGAAGACCTTCAACTAAGTGGATTGACACAATGACAACAATGGCATCAAGTTGTGAGGATGGCACAGTAAAGGACAGGATTCAGATCTGTCATTCATAGGGTCATTATGAGTCATCCTCAATGGTACCTAACAACAATAAGGGAAATAATGGGCAGGGGGGAAACATGGACTAGAGTGGGGGATATTTAATATATCACTGAATCACTGAGGAGAATAAATTAGTTGTTTACCTTAAGAGGATGAAAAAATTATCAAAATTATTCAAAACTATTTATATTCTCGTGCTACTCTCTGGACTGCTAAAAGAAGTAAGTCTGTCCAAGAAAGAGTGAAACAAGCTTGCTTCTTGGAGGCAAGTATTTTTAAATTCTATCTCACATACTTTGGGTATGTTGTCAGAAGGGACCAGTCCTTGGAGAAGGACATCATGCTTAGAAGGGTGGAGGGTTGTCAGCACAGGAAAGGAAGGCCCTAAGTCAACATAGGGGCGGTTGCAATGGGACTCGTGTGTCAGATGGTGACGTTGGCTCAGGATAGGGCAAGGTTCAGGGCTATTGTTCATAAGGTCACTAGGAGTCATAGTCAACTCAACAGCACGTAACAACAACTCCTCTCTTGTTTCAGGCACATAATGATAAGGATGAACATGTCAATAAAAGTTAACCACTGTTCACAGAGAACTTAGTGTCAGTCCCCATAAGATGAAAGTGATACCCCATTTGATAATTTTGAGGTAAGATTTACAGATATGAAGCCTGAGACTGACTAACCCATTAGGTAATTTGTCAGCTATTAATTAACTGAGTATTACTATAAGATGAGTAGCCAGGATTCAAAACAATACTGCCTGTTTTAGTGAGCAGCATGGTTATCCCTGAGCTTCTTGGCCTCCAGAGGACTGCCTGCCTTCAAACGGATTCTCAACTGGCCTTTAATCTGGAATCATCAATTCAAAGGCCTTTGGATAGGTTTCATAAAAAGAGGCTGGCCAGAGTCAACAGAATATCAAGAGGGCACTGGCCATTACCAAGCTCAAAAAGTAGCAGTTACTCACCATAGTCAGTAGTCACCATGAAGAAATACAAAGCCTAAAGGATTGGAACTTTAAAAAAAAAATAAAATTGGAAGTAAAGAAATGCCTGACTTTTCAACTGGTAACTGATTCAGTCAAAACAATGGTATCTACAAAGGGAAAATTAAACTTAGGCCAACCAAAGCTTTATGAGAGAAGGGGAGCTCTGCTGGCCTAACAGCAAGAGGCTGCACTGCAATCCCAATGACACAGGGTTCAAGGCCACCAGCTGCTCCGGATGGGCAGTCTCCTCCCATGTGATTATCTGCCTCTGAAAACTCACCAGAGGGTCTGCTATGGGGCAGTTCCCTATTTAATTTCTCATCCACAATCCTGAATCTGAGAGTGTAGGTCTAAAATATGTAGATTGAACACAAGCAAAACACACTCAACAGTCACAATATTCCCTCCACCAAAACAGCAGCAGTCACTCTGAGGCAGTCCACCATTTTCTTTTTCCAAAAGATTTCCCAAGCATCTTAGGAGACAGAATTATCCCCTTATCTTCATCAGTGATACAAGGAAAACCAGAGTGTTGCAGACCCTGTGTGAACCCCAACCAACCCCAAAAGTCATGTGAGAGACACACATATGTGTTGCTAAAGGACAAGCTCAAATTTTTAGATGTGTCCCCGACTGATGTTGTTGTTGTTGTTGTTGTTCTTAGGTGCCACTGAGTCAAGTACAACTCATAGAGACCCTATGAACAATAGGTCTGAACCCTATCTTAGCCTGTGCCATCCTCATAACTTCTCACATACTTGAGCCCATTGCTGCAGTCACTAGATCAGTTCTTCTGGTTAAGGATCTTCCTCTCTTTTGCCAACCTTTCATCTTTCCAAGCATGATGTCTCTCTCCAAGGAATAGCCTATCCTAGCATCGTGCCCAAAATATATGAGATGAAAATTTGTCTTATTTGTCTCCAAGGAGAACTCTGGCTCCACTTTCTCCAAGACATATCTGTTTTTGTTGTTTTTTTCCTTTGGCAGTCCATAGGATAGTCAGTACTCTTCTTCAACTCCACAGCTCAAAGACATCAATTCTTCTTCTGGCATCCTTATTCATTATCCAGCTCTCAGATGCACAGTAAAGACTGTAATGACTGAAAAGACTATGATTTGAATCAGGCACACCTTAGTTCCTGACAAAAGTCATAAAAATTCCACTTATCTAACCCTAGGAAGTTCTGATATCAGTGTATTACAAATTGTGCTAATTCAATGTTCAGCAGTTTGAATCCACCATGGTGACAGGAGAAAGATTTACTGCCTCAGAATGAACTAGAGTCTCAGAAACCCAACAGAGGGTCACTATGAGAAAGATGTGACAATCTGCTTTAACAAAGATTCCTGCCTTGGAAATTCTATGAGACTCTGTCCTATAGCATCATAATGAATCAGAACTGACACAACAGCACTCAAGGATCATATACATTAGGGATCCCTGGTGGGGCAATATTTAAGTGCTTGGCTGCTAACTGAAAGGCTGACAGCTTGAAACTCTAGGAGGTAGTTTTACTATGACATCAGATTAGTATGCGTCAGGATGCACTCAATGGCACCCAATAGCAACCAGCTCATACAGTTAGACTCTTATTTAAAGAAGACTTGGCAAGAACATCTAACTATGTTCCATTCTGTACAGTCAGAACGTTACATCCATCTGCTTTTCCTTACAATAAGACACACCTCATGTCTTACCCAAAGAGTTTACAAGGAGTTACCTCAGAGGCACTGCAATGCCTTTGTTCTCTTGACCTCATTTTCTTACATATGTAACATCGTAGTACAAGGTATCAAGTATAGTCCTTCCCATCTCCTTAAATAGCTGGGCATAGCCTATAGCTGGGAACATAAAGCAATGCATATAATACATTCTAAATTCATCAAACTTTAGCGTATGGAGCAAATCCCTTCCCCTTAGCACTGGTTGAGAGAAGCCATCTCAACGCAACCAGCACTGTAACAGCAATGACACACACTCATATCAAGGAAGCACTGACCAGCTGGTGAGCTCCGCAGAGCTCAGCATATTCTTGTATGCTGTTCACAGGTGTACTGTACAAGCCAGTGAGCAAATGTAGGGAAAGACGTTTCCAGGAAGATTATCCCTTACCCTCACGTACATATCAAGAAAATGCCATCACTTTATTTTCATTAAATGGGGAAAATGAGTCCAAAGGCAATTGTCTGTCTAATTACAAGAGTCTGAGAAAAAGAAAAAACTAGCATTGACTTTTTCATTTGGATCTCATTGACCCCAGGGATCTCTGATTTGCTTTAGGAGCTGATGAGAACACGGAATAAAGATGGCAGAGCCCATCAAAGAGAAAAGCTGCACTCTTCAAGACTCTAGTGATCGCTCAGGTTCTGAAAAGTAGGGAGGAAGGTGCGCTATCATGGATAAGGCCACTCTGATTATAAACTTCACAAACTTGAGAATGACATTAACAGAAGATATTGCTAAAGGGAAAGATGGAATAGACAGAGAATAAGAACTATTGGCGGATGGAAACCTGACTTGATCTGTCAAAGCATGAGTTAGAGAGGCACACACATAGATATACATAAGAGAAGCCCAGCATGACCCTACCATCCAGAGGATGCAGTGAACCCCTCAAGGAACTGGTCAAATGCTTAGTGATGGTGCACAAGACTGAGTCGGTAGATCACCTAGACAGTAGTGAGTTCACAGATAGATACAGCAGCAATAGCCTGAATAGGTCACATGATTTTGAAATGGTTTTGTAGAAAGAGTTCTTTTAAGACAAATTACATACATCTGTGTGATGACATCTAGGACATGATATATGAAGAAAGCAACAGCTATGCAAAGGAAGAGTTTTTCATCACTATTTTCACATTGCCACTGAGTCTTTTCGAAGCCTTGGATAATTTCCTGTATGGATTTCTTGTTTTCTTCCTTTAAGGAGTATGAATGGCCAAAAGAACAAACAAGTAAGTCTTGGAGAACATGCAGCCAGAGTACTCCTCTGAGGCAAAGATAATAAAGCTTCATCTCACATATTTTGGGCATGTTACCAGGAGAAGCTATTCCTTGGAGAGGGACATCATGCTTGAAAGGTGAAGGGTCAGCAAAAGAGAGGAAGACCCTTAACCACATGGACTAACAAAGTCACTGGTGCAATGGGCTCAAGTGTGCCACAAAATGTGAGGATGGCAGAGGCTAGGACAGGGTTCAGATCTGCTGTTCTCAGGGTTGCTACAGGTTGCACTCAACTTGACAGCACCTAACAACATCAAGGATTCTAATTTTTTTTTTTGCAAGAAATTATGATATTTAATGATCACCTTGCTTCTCTTAAGGCTTATATTTTAAGCTTTTTAAAGTTGGTGTATATTAGCCTTTTGTCTTATTCTAGTTAATATTTTTTATTACGATGTAGAATCTCTGTTATTTCACTACACCTAATTTTGCCATCATGTGTCTGTCCATGTAGCTATTAGCTAATAAATCTTTTATGTATAAAGGTTCATATGTGTATTAGGTGAGAAAGACAAGGAACTGAAGAAATTCAATCCAATCCTAAAATCAGTCTTTCAGAAAAGACAATTTTATGGGATAGTTAGTGATAAGTACAGAGAGGAGAAAAAAGCAAATTGAGTCCTTGAGACTATTTTAGGATGAAGATGAGAACAGAAAGCTCACCTAGATCCCAAAAGTCATCTCAAATCTAAGCAAATGAAAATATCCATCTGAGTTTCCCCAAACTGACTATCAATAATTTTAAAATGACTGACTGAATCTTGGGGTACATTGTGATAACAAATACTGTTTTCCTTGTGAAATAAGTGGTTAAAACCGTAAATATGCCATCATTAAATAAAAACTCAAGTTCTCAGGAGCAAGAAGTTTAAATGATTTCTAGAGTAGCCATCGTAATAAGAGCTTTGGGACCATTTCTCACCCTACATAATTTTTCCTGGACAGATCAATATCAAAGGACTTCAAGTTATAAACTGTCTTGGAGTGATTTAGATAAAAGAATTCTGCTAATTAGGAACATAAGCATACAACAAGAAGTCCAAAACACATTTCACATTTAAGAGGTCCCACCTGAATGATACTCATGGTAGATTAAGTTTCACCTTGCATTATTAATATTAATGATCTACCATGGGCTAGAACATCTCTAAGGCACTTACTAATTATGAAATATTATTCTATCATATCTATTAAACATAACTGAAGGTTTATCATTTGCATGTTTCACTGACTGACTTTCTGTGTTTTCCAACTAAAAAGAAATATTTCAACTCCTGTCATCATCCAAAGGTGCCACCACTTTTATTTGTTTACCAGATGATCCTGGCCCATTACCCCTGACTTATTCAACCTTCCTCAGAACACTTAATGATCCTATTTAGGATGCATTTCCTTGCTGCTTTGTGCAGGTGGCTTTCGCATTGTTGCATAGACAGTGATGGGAACGTCAGTTATTGTCAGACAATGACTTCCAGGGCATCTTCGGAGTTGCCTAAAAAAAGGAACAAATGGCATGTAGTTAGATACGGAGAAGAAAATATTACATCAAATACCAAAATTTGAGTCTGTATTTGACTATTTAAAGTCATTCTGAAATCTTTGAATGTCATGAAGGAATTATAACAGTACTGATAAAAGTGTACATTTTAAACTTAAGTTGCAAAGAGATTAGAGCTGAAGCAATACATTTAATCAGAGGAGACTACTCTCAAATTCTCTTTTTGAGAGTATGAAGTAATTGCTAAATGGCAAGAAAAAGAAAAATGTGGTGATACTAATATGGCAATTCAAGCATAAATGCAACCTAACATCCCTTGAATTCAGTGATTTAAAAACTAGAATAATTGTTGGAAACTATATATTCTGTTTCATGTACTATTAAAAAGTTGGAAAAAAATCTACATCCAATGCTTGAATTTCCTTTCTGTATGCCCATCAAATAATTATCCAACAATAAAATGTCCAAAACAAGTAGCTCACTACTTACCAAAGCAATCTACTCCATCTTTCAATAATCAGTGTTTAAACAATCCATCTACTTATGCTTAAATCTATGTCCCAAAATTTCCAAGCAATGAGAAATCTAACAACACATCATTTGATAATCTGGGATTGTAAGAGCCTTATTAACAGCAATGCAGGAGGAGTTTTGTAGTAGGTTCTAAGATAAACTGGAGAAAGTAGAGTGATTGTATTCTACAGCTAAAGCTTGAAGTAGGAAGACACGGGTAACTTTTTCCAGGCCACCCATTCAAGAGAGGAGGGAAAAACACAAGAGCCCAGTTTAGCGATTTCTTGGTTGCTAGACTGCACATATCCATTGCCGCCCCACGAAATTTTGTGACTTATGGGACTTGAGGAACATCTTTTTTTCTCCTGGTTGTGTGTGTATGTGTGTGTGCATGCACATGCACTGTTATGCCAATTTAAATTCAACTTCTACATGTACAAGTGCTAAAAAATCCCAAATGCTAAAGATCAAGGATATCAGTTTAAAGACTAAGGTGCACTGCACCAAGCCATGGTTGCTTTCAATGCATATGAAGTTTGGACAATTAATAAGAATGACAAAAATATAGATGCCTTTGAATTGTAGTGTTGTAGAAGAGCACTGAACATCCTATGGACTGCCAGTGGAACAAACAAGTCTGTCTTGAAGGAAGTATAATAAAGGTGCTCCTTAGAGTTCTGACTTGAAGGTACTCAACAACGACAGTACTGATCATTAGTCAAAGCCTGTATTTCCTGTAGCATTTCCTCAGTAGTAGAAGAGGGTTTACCTGGTCGGTGAAGTCTCTTTTCCATTATAGGCCGCACTAGAGCTAAGCCCAGGTTCTAGTCCTATTGATGAATCTCCTCCTTCCACTGGAAATCTTCTTGGCTGGGTCCCAAATCGAAAAGGCATAATTCACTGAAGACCTAGATAGAAAATAAAAATAAAAGGATGGAGGAGGTTTTCTTCAAATATGTGTAATTGTTAATGCACTATCTTAGTGATAAGCATACAGAATGATTCGGAAAATAGCTTTCAAAATATCTAAAAAAAACATAAAATTACTAATGGTGTCTCTCTGGAGACTAAGGTGCGCCTGATACAGGCCATGGTCTTTGCAATCACTTGTTATGAATCAGAGAGCTGGACAATGACTAGGGAGGACAGGACAATTGATGCCTTTGAGCTGTGGTGCTGGAGAAGAGTATTGAATGTACCATGGACTGCCAAGAAAACAAACAGATTCATCCTGGAGAGGATTAAACCAAGCAAGGATTCTGGGGCTTCGTCTGACATACTTTGGGCATGTTGCCAGAAGGGACAGGTCCTTGGAGAGGGACGTCATGCTTGGAAGGGTGGAGGGACGGCACAGGAGGGCAAGACCCTCTATGAGATGGATTGATTCGGTTACTGGGGTAATCGGGATGGGTGTGTCGGAGGCAGTGCAATTGGCACAGGATAAAGCAGGGTTTAGGGCTGTTGTGCATAGGGTCGCTATGAGTCGCAAATGACTCGATGGTACATGACAACAACAACACATCTGATCCTTCAATGCAATGTTAAGTCTTAAATTCAAGATAGGGAAGTACAGGTGGAGTTCCACTTCTGTTCACCACAAAATCTTAAGTTAATCTGTTTTGTCCCTAGTGCTCATTTAACACCCCTCTGCCTCTCTATGCCTTTGCCATGCCACAGTTAAGAGAATGGCCTTAGGAGAGTTAGATTGACCTGAGCTCAAATCCTATTTTGTTCCTCCATGACTATGTGAGTTCAGGCAAATCAAGGGCAAATTTTTAATGACAGTATTGGCTTCCAGGTTAACAACAACCACAAATGTTGCCATAAACTTTCCAAGACTGTCTATCTTTACAAAAGCAGAATGGCTCATCTTTCTCCCACAGAGCAACAAGTGGGTTCAAATTTTGAGTCTTTTGATTAATAGCCCAATGACTAGCCTACTATACCATCAGGACCCCATTCAGGTTAACAGGATTAAATAAAAGACATTTAGGGTGTACTGTCTAATACATGGTAAGTGCTCAATAAATGTTAACTATACCTGTTGTTGTTGTATACCATCAAATCAGAACCAACCCATAGCTAACCCTGTGGCGGGTTTTCAGAGGCAGTTAATTGCACGGCAGGAGATTGTCCATCCTTCTCCCACAGAGTATCTGGCCTTGAACCACATGCCTTCAGGATTGCAGTGCAGCTTCTTGGCACTAGGCCACCAAAGTGATAAGGAATTGTACTGCCAGACCAAAGTCATGCTTTTAGAATCTGCCAGCTGCTCCCCAGGAGAAAGATTAGCAATCTCCTCCTGTGTGATTAATTGCCTTTGAAAACAGTTGTGAGTCAATTCTGATTGAATGCTGCATTGCAACAATAATACAATACTTACTCAGCAGATGCTGAGTACACTATAATACTTACTCAGCAGGTGGCTAGCTTAGTGGTAAGGGATCAAGCTGCCAATGCAAAAGTAAACAGTTTGAATAAACCAGCTACAGATGGAGAATCAACTCTCATGCAACTTACTGCCTCTGGAAACTCCCTGGAGGGTCGTTCCAACTTGACAGTACATAATAACAACAATAATATATGTATATATCTATGGATGTTGTGAGGAACGCTAATGGCACTGTGAGCTCTGGTGGCAAAGTCTGTAGTAAGAAATACAGTTAGCCCAAAGCCTAGGCTTTCCTAGTGGTCCAATTCCACCAGCTGATCTAAGAGGAAAAGAAGGGCTATAAAGTTTACAGTCTCAGAAACCTGTTGGAGAGTTGCTATGGGTCAGAACTGACTCCGCATGGGGAGTAAAAAGATCTAAAATTTGAAACTGCAGTCAATTTGAGGAAGAAAGATGTGGCAGTTCTACAAGGTCATTTTGTCCACTTTGTCATATAAGGTCATTATGCCTTGGAATAGACTAAATGACAAGAAGGGGTGTGTGTGTGTGTGTGTGTGTGTGTGTGTGTGTGTGTGTGTGTAAACTAGATGGTACAGAACTTAATGAGTGCCAGACAGTTAACCATAAGGTCAATAGTAGGAATCCACTAGGCACACCTCAGGAGGAAAAAAATGAGTAGTCTCTTCCTGTAAAGTTGTTCAACCTCAGAGATCCAAGAAAGGCACTTGCTCTGAGTTAGAATCGGCTTGACGACAGCTACATACATTCTTGGACTGCCCCCCTTTCCCACTGCTCCCACCTTCCCCTTGCTGGAGTCAACTACTTCATTAAGTCTGTATCTACATTTCACTTTCTCTGAGATGCTTTACATAATCTAAGTTTTCAGAACACTTTTTTGGTAACAGTTATCACTTTAAATCCAGGTTTATCAAAGTCAACACTGTAGATAAGTATTTGTTGAAGAGGGGATAGGCTGTGCTGTTCATTTGGTTGTATGATTAGCAGCATCCATGGTCTCTATCCACTAGAAGCCACTTAAACACGTGTCCATACCCCAAGTTACAACAGTTTAAAATGTCTCCACATATTGCTAAATGTTCCTGAAGGCAACAAAACAGTCTCAGATGAGACCTACTGCTGTGACTATTTCTAAAATGCTTGTTTGATATTTATTCCCCATTCCCTCCCTGTTCCATTTTCATCTTTGTCACCACTGAATCTTAATCCTTAGCACAGTGACTGACATTCAGTTGGTGCTTAATAACAGTATCTTAAATAAACATTATGTTTTCAACTACAATCTCAAAAAGGACCATAGAAATGCCATGTTATGTTTCTTACACTTGGTAGAGTATTCTGTGCTTAATTAATGTTGGTGGTCTAATTACGCTAAATTATAATTCATTTAAAACTATTTTAAAATTTATAGTTTATTATAATGATCTACCAAGGCAGGCAATACATTTTAACTACTTTAATCAATGACATATACTTACCAAAATAGGCCAGGTCTTATTCTTGTAGAGGTGAATAAATCAACCGCTTTCTACTGACTTCCATAGAAGGCTGGAATTGCCAAAGGAATGATGATCAATGTTCCAGTGACACCCAGATATTATGACATCAGAATAGTCTTTCACATAGTTTCCTACCTGCTAAAAATCAAATGTCACAATTCATTTGACTCAGCTACAAAATTTGTTAAAAATTGGAAATCAACTCAACAGCAGGTTCTTGATTTGTTTTAAGGTTAACTGAGGCGTTTCACTCTTGTTGCCACCGGCTTCTTATGATGCCACAATATTAAATGTTTCAATATCTAAAGAAATTATTTTCTCTATTACAGACCCAAGTAACCCTTGTTAAGCAGTAGTTAATCACTTGGCTACTACTAAATCAAAGATTAGGAATTCATATTTACCCAGAAATTCTGCAGAAAACAGACTAGGCAATCTGCTCCCATAAAGATTACAGCCTAGATAGTTTTATGGGGGAAATGCCGAGTTGTCACATAGGTTGTTATGAGTAAAAAAATCACCCTGAATGGCATCCAACACCAATACTACACATTTGCATCCCAACCAATCAGAAAAAAATAGCACTTGAGATACATTACCCCTAATGGCAATCAAAACGCATCCCATTGCCTCTATGTTACCTTTCCAGATTTCCCTCAGCTGACTGACTCACTCCAACTGATCATTACACCTTCTTACAACATTCCTGCACCCTAAAAATCATTCATTTACAAATTTCTTCATAGCTCTTCTTAGCTGGAATTCTCTATTGCCGGGACACTTCTTCTATCTATCTCCTCAAAAGACCCTGCAAACTCCCAGATAGTAGGAATAACGACAACAAAAAATGGAAGAATTGTATCTTGTACTAGCTCCTCTATTTTGTTCAGTGGTCATGAGCTTCTCTTCTATTTATCTTTTCATATCCTTGCCTGCCCTCACTTTTCTTAGCTAGTTATCAGCTTCTATATTAATAGCCTCAGTATGGATTATACTCAAGGAAATGTTTCCACCAGTTGGATCAATAAATAACATCATAATAATGGAGAAAAGACTGAAATTCTCAAGGATTTTATTTTATTTGGTTTTAATGGATCAAAACAAAGGAATAATTGCATTGGGAAAGTTTGCTGTCAGGGACCTCTCCAGAGTATTGAAGAGCAACAATGTATGTCAATATAGAGACTAAGATGCACCTTAAATGGGTCATGGTCTTTACAATTACTTGCTATGCATCAGAAAGCTGGATAAAGACTAGGGATGATGGAAGGAAAATTGATACCTTTGAGCTATAGTGCTGGAAAAGTATTGAATATACTGCTAGGAAAACAATTAGGTTCATCCTAGAGTGGGTGAAACAAGGCTGCTCCTTGGAGGCAAGGATTCTGAAGCTCCATCTGGCCGTACTTTGGGCATGTTGCAAGGAGTCCTTGAAGAGAAACATCATGCTTGGGAGGGTGGAATGATAGCAAGACCCTCGGTGACATGGATTGACTCAATGGCATGGGTAATGGGGGTAGGTGTGTCAGAGACGAAAAGGTTGGCTCAGAATAGAGCAGGATTCAGAGCTGTTGTACATAGGCTCTCTGAGTCATAAGTGAGTTGACGGCAAATAATATTAACAACAACTAGATATAAAATCAATGCCTATAGAAGCAGCAAAAGTATATTGACTATACCACAAGACTACAAAAATAACAAACTATCTTGGAAGAAGTGCAGGCAAAATGTTTCTTAGAAGCAAGGATAGTGAAACTTCAACTTGTATACTTGGGGAATATTACCAGGAGAAAGTACACTTGGAGAAGGGTATGAGGATCAATAGAGTAAAAGGTCAGCCAAAAAGAGGGCAATTTTGAGACGGATTAGCACAGTGGCTGCTACAATGGACTGAAGACACAGTGACTGATGCAATAATCTGAAGTGTGTCACAAATTATGAGGATGGCATACGATGGAACAGGGTTCAGGTCTGTAGTTCATAGG